AGGACTGCAGTTTCGTAAGTATGACATAAGATCTAAGGAGAACATAATCTTGATCATGTAGGAACATTGGCATCATACAAAACAGTGTTTCATGCGGGGGGATTCGCCTTTTTAAAGTGTTGCCGGTAGCTTTAAAAACCGCACCTAGGGTACTTTCATAGTTTTAACTTGATGGTTCGTATTGGAACCTCTGACGTAAAATCAATCTGTTGACAACACCAGAACAAAATTACGATCTTTCGACGAGTGTTTCGCTATCCAAATTAGCGTCCTCAGGAGTTCATTATGACCATAATTGTGTTCTGATGTTGAGCAACCAACATCCAACTAAAATTGATCATTTTAGATGTAATTTCAAGTACTAAAATACTGACGATGTTATGCTGATGGCACCACCAAGGACAATGCCAAGATATTTCACCTCCGTTCTAAATCACCTCACCATTGAACGAAGGTGGCATTAGATCGTCCAATTGTCTCCTTCTGGTGAACGGGATTATCACAGTTTTGCTGGGGTTGACAGACATCCGCTCCCAATGGCACCAACTGTGAACAACGTCCATCGAGCTTTGGAAGATATTACAACTTACCCTTGCCACATAAGCTTGCAGATCTACTTTTCTTCTGTCGAGGGCAAACTAACCATCTGGAGCGACCACAGAAGGGAAAATAGTACCCTACCTTGAGGACAGCCTCTGGTGACCTTGAACCTAATGGCCTCGCCTTGAAGAGTCCTAGTTGCAGTTCTGTTTACCAGCATAGCATAGATCCAGCCAGTTATGGTCCATTCTATACGTTTCCTAGCCAGATATGATCCTATAGATTTAGGTAGTGCATTGTCAAATGCTCCTTCAATATCAAGAAATACAGCAACCGCAGTCTCCTTGTTGTTAAGGGACGAGAAGCCATTTTGGAGGACAAAACTCACCCAGTAGTCAGTCAAAACCGTCCGCTGCAGGCGCCGTAAGAGTAACTTTTAAAACCACCAACTTCCATCAGAAATTTGGAATCACTGTTGTTAATAGAAAATACCGTAATCACCACACAGTCGTAATAAAATATCAATAACAAAATTTAATTAAAAACCCTGCATATATCAACAAAATATGTCGAAATTAAAATCCAGAAATAATTGCTCCAACGTCGCTACCTATGAAAAAAGCTTCGTCCAATGGAAAATATGAAGCAATTATAATCGAGTAGCGAAGTGAAGAGACCACTTTGAACAAAACAAATGTATAAATGATTTAATACCGACCACATTAAATGCAAACTAATAACATCATCCGTTTCATTTCGTTGAAATGTTGAGTTGGCGCATATTAAATAATAAAATCATACACGTAATTGAATTAGGGTTGGCTTTTACTGCAGCATTCAGTTCACGAACAACCATAGGCGCACCGTGGGAATCCCAGACTGATGAATATAGCTGGTATATTTATGTTTCATTGGATTGTTTCAAAAAGTTTTGTACGTTTCTATCAGTTTACTTTATACTGTGATATCTCAGTGGATATTTAAGAAAAAGGATTATTGTCTAACAGGAGTAATCCCAACACAAATATAATAAAGTTTACTGCTGTGAATAAATATAAGTAACGAATGCATATAAAATCAGTAGGTAGACTAATGGAATAGTATATTATACAAACACCTCCATAATATGGGGCTAGTGGGCACACCTCTATGCAGGATGTGTGAACAGGAAGATGAGAGTGTCAGGCATGCCCTATGCGAGTGACCGGAGGCTTTTGTTCTGTGAATCTTGGCCTACACCTGCCGATATAAAGGAGATGTCTCCTAATGACCTGCCCACCTACCTGGAAAGGACAGAATGGACGATGACCTAGGAGGACAACTCCTCTGGAGGATGAACAATGGGTCACATGTGACCTAAGTGCTGTGGGCTCACACTTACAAATTTCAACAGAAACATTTGTTCGAGTACAATTAATAAAGACACAATGCTCGAATTCATGAACAGGGTCCATGAATAATATAATTAAAGTCATATTTTCCAACAATACGATGCCATTGTTAAAATCAATGATGCCTTTCCTGACCTATTTATCGCTGCTAGATGCATTAACTGTTCGTCGCGTATTCTTTCCGATTTCAATAGTTTAGCCTCGATGCGAATTAAAAATGCCTTATCATACCAATAAGATTCAATTGAGATATTGAGATTTCTGAATATCATACAGTGCGGTCCTAAAGTAACGGCTAAATTCATTTTCTACGGGTTCATTAATGCAAATGAAAAATCCCGAAACAGATCAATTTTATATTTGAAAATAACTTTATATGGAACGGTGAACAAGCAAAATTGTCGGTATTGGAGTACGGAAAATCCTCACTAGATGAGGGAAGGTCACACTAAGTATCCCGTTAAAGATACCGTTTGGAGTGCCATACTGAATAACACAATAACTGGACTATATTTTTTGGGGGGTCACTAACTGGGCCCAGTTACTTGGATTTTTTACAGAATGTTTCAATACCAGATTTACGACAACTTTTTCTTGATCGTGTTAACACCGCAGATACCGATAGAAACATATCGTTTCAACAAGATGGAGCTATACCACATGCAGTAGCGGTACGAGATTATCTGAATCAAGTTTTTCCCCGTCGATGGATCGGTAGACGTGGCGAAATTGAATGGCCAGCCTGTTCTTGCAATTTGACTCCACTCGATTTTTTTTGTGGGACAATTTAAAATAAAAAATTCACAAGGGGAAACCAAGGAATATTTTGAGCTTAAAACACCGCATCGGGAGATGAACGGTTTCCATATGCTTTAGACTGTTATCATTTCAAATATTGTTGAAATTTATCCGTTACTTTAGGACCGCACTGTATATAAAGTGCGGTATTCAAGGTGGTCTAGTCATTTTCATAATATTAAATCATTTCTAGAAATATCTGTAGAATCATCTATGTAAAGTTTTAATATTCGGTCACGATGATGCATTACTAGGCCTTGAGAGTGAAGTAAAACTATGTTTTGATGGGCTCTCAGCAAACACAATTATGTAAAATTGACATGAATGTTACATAACTGATAATACGTGTTATGTAACTATGTTATGTCCGTCACAAATATAACCTGATTTTTACGTAACATTATTGTCATTATTTTACATATATTTTATATGATTTCAGTGAGTAAATACAAACAAATATAACACTAGCTCGCAGAAAAACTTGGAATCATTAACTGGAAAAAGCATCCTTTAATAACTAAAACTTCCTGACCAAACTTTGCCTCCATAGTTTTTTTGGTGAAAAATACTCATCAACAAAAAACAAATCTCAACGTATCAAGTGATAAGAATGTCTCAAAAACTCTAGCCTCTCCCACAGAACATCACACAGACCAACATATAAATTGAAAGCTCAGAGAGATTCTCATTTGTTAAAAAGTCAAGTACGTCTGTACTTGAAGTAACAACTTTACGTAGGAGTTAAGTGGAATCTAATATACCATATTGACGTAAGTTTTTACGTATTAACTACGACTACGACATGTTCATATAAATTATTTATGTAAATATGGGGTGAAAGTATCATTTCATAGTTCTGAAATAATCAACAGACAAATATTATTAGTTGCTCAAAATGTAGAAATAATCAAAACGTTCAAAGTTCGAATTGTCTTTTCATTTTGTTTAGGAAACCGTTCCTGGCCGCCCATGGTGGATCTGATATGATATGATAATAGATCAGAAAAGAGTTCGGGGATGCTCCAGCTGCTGCGAACAATGTTAAAAACACGTCGTTCTTTTGTTGTTCGAAAGGATAATCGCAGTCGACGCGTTTATCCGGAAAATCGGAACGTATGTATGAATGCGGTCGAGGCAGAGGGTTGTTAATGACGCTTCAGTGGACCCCGGCCCATTAATAAAATTCATAATGAGAGATCAAATTATGCTTTAAATAGGCGATATGAATAATGGTACGTTCCGTTTGTTATTAATGTTTATCTAGTTAATCCACACACATACTACGTATCGCGTTCCTATTAGTTGTGTTAGGGAAAGAAGGGAAGTGAAATCAACTGTTGAAAGGAAAACAGTTCTTTTTACTTCACTACAACTTTATCACTTCAATCCCAATTAAGAGAAACTGCTCGAATATTCAATTATTTTTGGTTTAGAGATACTTGGAAACAATTCATTTATCGACAATATTTAAAAAATTAATATTTCAAGTTATCTACATTACATTTTAACTAGTACCAAACTACTCATTTACTCCTAATAATTCCTAGTAATTCTTGAGTCATGAGAATCTTCTATCTTCATTCACAAAGAAGTGATGTCAAAATGACGTAATTCAACATTGTAGGACATATGTTGAAAACTTCGCATGACTCGAAAATTTGGCTGCAGAAACACATCCGCTCTGTAAATGGCTGTCAGTTTTATGTCAACTCCTACATGATACCAAACGCCTCAGAGTACTCAGAGCTAAACGCCAATAGATTACGCATGAATGGCGACAAATTACGATAATCGGTGACATCTAGCATTGGTAGTGTGAACTACTATAGCAGTGAATAACAATTATGGACTGATTTCGATTATTTCATACAAAGAATGCTCTTAACAGATGAAACCATTTCTATTGATTCATATATGTAAGACATCTGGTAAAATATATGCGATTCAGGATTAGATTTCATTTGCTTCGGAAAAAATCAGGGCATTTGCTAGTAATCCCATAAATGAAATTACTGAATATGACAACTGACAAATACATTGATGAACTGAAAAAATTATATAGTTCACAGGAAAACCACGTCACTAATTTGATAAAACTCAAAATAACACTTTTCCAAATAAACATAGCTGCTTAGGAAATACTTCTCTAAATTTTCAGAATACATGTAGCTATTTTGTTAGTGACAGAATAAGAAACTGCACTGTCCTTTCGACGTGTAGAATCGTTGGATAACGATTTTTTAGATTAGATTTAATTAGGTGGTTACGCCAGTAACCAGGCTGGATGTAGACGGACTAGAGGAGGTCGTAAGTTCCACAATAGTTATGAACATGTTTTTAAAAGAAAATCAAAATGCGTAAAAAATATTATGGTGATTATGTAACCCACTTACATTATCGTCGGACCTGGATAATAGTCTTAGGTAGCGAGCCCAATAATCTAAAAAGAGGAGGATTCAATAAGGTTATGATATTTTAAATGTTTTGTTTTTACCTTCTGTAGAGCTAATAATATTAGTAGTAATGAAAAATATCTGCATATTATGCTTGAAAAAAACTGTCGCAAAAAAATGTGCGGAGTCAAAACTCTTCATAGAGCTCTTAGACGTACTTTTGTTGAACCCAGTAAGATAAAAGTGAATCATTTTTTTGCATTATCAAAATGTGTTGATTTGTAGTGGTGGAACATTTCACAAACCCCTATGTTATGCTACAGCTGCAGCATGAAGATTGCCAAAGCATTCGGCTTCAAAGCAAACTGTGCGTACACTGAAGATTTGCTAGCGCCTCACATTAAAACTAAAAACGAATCGAAGTTAGATCTGCGAACTGCTTATTTGAGAATGAAGAAATGTGAAGTAGAACCCCAATCTGCCAGAGGATTTTATAATATATGCTGCCTCTGCATCAACCTGATAAATGGTTCCTTCACATTTTTGATGGATCTGCTGAAAGATCACCACTTTCAAGACAAATTCGAAAAATATATTCCAGAGGTGGTACGTCATGTTCCTCATTTTACAATATTATGACTGGCTGTTCAATATTGATTTATTTCCTGTGACATTTTGACTGCAACTGTGGCAGACATCATAAGTTATGCAGCAATGATTCAAGTGATCTTCTTTGGTACAATACACAATCATTATATGTATAAACATCAACTATGTTGAAAGCTTTAAACTTCCCGAAAAATAGATAGAAACTACTTTTATCTTTTTCATACAAATACAGTACATCTAGCGATGTGGTAAACACAAGAAGAAACAGGACCAAAATTTCGTTTTTCTAAGAAAAGTCATTTTTTATGAATAATTTTGCTTCAACATATATTATCAAGGACTCCAGTTGGATTTTATGCTAAAATAAATGTTTCTCTCTTAATATGTCCAGCAGTGCATGTTCAATAGGATTTGTCAGTGATTAGAATCAATTTAGGTTTATATTATCTAGTGGTAACGCCAACTGTGTGAAAGAATTACTCATCGGAAAAAGTGTCCCAGTTTTGGTGTGGAAAAAGTGTTTCTGTTGGCATTTCCTCAGTTTTTTTTAAATTTCAGGGTCTGAAAAATATTGAAGATCCTGTCATCTGCCAGCAATGTAATGACAACCTCAGGGATTTCATAGAATTTGTTTCGTCTTGTATGGCTACCAGTAATGTAATAAAAAAATTTCGAGAAAAGAGAAAAATCAAAGATGGTGCTGAAATTGACTTAGGAAGAGTACTTGAAGAAGTTGTGCAGGATAATGTGAGTCAAATTACAATAAAAGAAGAAATCGTGGAGATAAATGATGAAATTGGTTCAGGCTTGCTATCGAGTGAGGAATGTGATAAAAAATGTGAAGAAATTGAAATAGAAAGGTAACTCATTGTTCCTAATGATATTTATTGAATAACGGGGTTCTTTGGATGTACTAGAAAAAATGGGAACTTCATGAGTTAACGTGAATTGGATATTTTGTACATGAAACTTAACGAGAATTCAATTAATGAGACCCTATGGCAATCTAATACCGATCTCGATATGTTATAATCATTGTCAACTAAAATTACCTATGTGTTAATGCATCTAAATCTAATGTCATGCTTTTTGGCGAGAAATCGTTAATCTGGCCTGATGAATATTGTAATAGATGGAACAGAACTTCCCTTGAAAGGAGTTACAAAAAACTGCTTATATCTTGACAACAGCTCCAGAATGCATGCATTAGGCTCTTTACAGGAATGAGGAAAACGAGAACATATTTCACATCTGTTCAGGGATGTGGGTTGGTTGAATATGGAATCCAGAACTCCCCAAAACAAAAAAACCCTTTTATCTTTTCGAAAAAAGAAGCCATCCCAACTTGAGATTAAGGACACATTCCACAATACCACAACGTAATACCTCTATTTTGCCGATTATATCCGACACCTGTCGTATATAATCCAAAGCCTTTCGTGGTATTAGCCAGGGTAGTAGTTGTTTTCTGTTGGTTGGTGTCAGTCCATTAACCTACAGTGTAGACGAGTAGAGACTGGCCTGAACAAATTGTTTTTGTATATAATTGAAAAAATATATATTTTATACTGTTTGCACTGTTCTTGATAACATACTGTTTCTTTTTCTTTTGTTCTTATGGTTGGATGGAAGAGTAATCTCTGCGATGATTTATCATACGCAGATATTGAAGCCTGCCATTTGATTGGTTGTAATTGTATGAACCATTAGTAGGAGCTATTATTATTATTTTTTTAACCGTAGTTTGCGCTGGTCAGCTCCTATCCACCAAAGCCCCAATACATTCGGGAGGGCGCGTCGGCATTATCAACCAATGACCGCTCCCCACACCGTGGGGTAAGTGATCATTGGGTCCGAGAATCATGTGCCCTGAGCAAGCACAGTGAGCTAAGAATGACAGCCTTCTGCATCTGTGCGGTTTAGATTTCTGCCTTAATGCGGCAAGCAGGTATGATGTTAAGATTCGAGAGTAGAGAGGGCATCATTTCACCAAGGAGTCCAATAATCAGGACAACCATCTTGACAGAGTGGTCTGGATAGAGTCTGCGGAGTTCGAAGAGAAACTCTCGATATTTTATCCGTTTCTCCTCCTCTTTTCGGACGATATTCGTCTCGCCAGGAGCTTGCTCTGGTGGTCGAGGAGGACTACATCAAGCTTATTAGCTTGTATGAGCCCGAGGGTGGGGAACGAATAGTTCCAATAAATTCGGCACTTCTTTGTTCTCCAGACATTTCCAATGAATTATTTCCCTACATTACTATCAATTGAATTTTCTCGAATGTGATTATTTCGTAAATTGCTTTGAAGCATTACGAGTATATTGTTAAATGTGTAATATTGGGTTGACAATTGCTACTATACCTAATTACCAATGTATTTAGGTTTTGATTTGCAATACTTACTTTGAATGCCATGGTTTTTGCTCGATATTCAGCTGAATGATGAATTCCTAATGAGTTTCGATTTATTTATATTATTTCATATGAACTTGGCCCCACCCCGGAAAAAATGGATCCTTTCACCGTATGTAGACAAAAAACAAACGAAATTTTGTGTGCAAGGTTTCTGAAGAAAGATAATAGGTACCGGCTTTTTTATTCCGAAGCGGATAACCGGTACCTATAGTTGGAGTTCATCACTGATAATTTCCAAGTGAGGTTTGAATTATCTTATTGTGAAACTAAATTTTTCAAGCAGAGAATTCAGTAACCTATTAAGAGAATCATATTGATTTTTGAAGAATCTTCGAAAACTTTACTGCTTGATCAACGAAAGAACACATTATTATTATTGAATATCTGTCAATTACACAATCGGTAACATAAATTAATAATGATAATGTATTGAAATTCATCATGAGATATCTGATTGATATAAAAATATTACCAAAAACTAGGATACAAAAGCATTGCATGTATGATTCACTGGCACTGTTTTGATCTATCACAGTCCCCAGTAATGGTACTCGAAAAGATCACGAATACAAAGGGTGAATGAGTTCGAGAAAGGTTTCATGTTTTTTTTGTTCTGAATCCCTCAGAAGTTTCAATTACACATCAGCAAAGTTGGAATATCTAACTCTTTTGCATATGAAAGAAATTCTTATGGGTTTGTCAGTACGGACTTCCATTGTCTGATATTATATAAAGTGATTTGAAATCCCTGAAGGAACTAATAAAAAAAAATCAAAAATGAATAGCTGAAAATAATGCTCAAAGACGAAACGGACTGCTTTGAGTTTGACGATAGTCGTGTCACGAAGTGTTCTGGCGATGTATTGACTCTTTTGGAGCCTCTGGAGCCACCCAACATTTTGTTTTATGAGAGAGGACATTGGCAGATCTTCAGATGATGTGGCGCTGTAGGTTTTTCCGGGTTTTCCTGCAGCTGAAAAACCAAATGCGCCACTGGAATCATGGAAGTCGCCCCGGGACATCAATTAATATTTATTGTTGTTTTATAATTTCATTAGATTACGTTACAAACTTCATTATATTAAACAAAAAACCTGAAATGAAGGATAAAATACAAGTAAAAATGAAACAATTGAACAATGAAATGAAAATAAAAGGTTAAGAGATTCCAAGCCAAGTTACTTCACGACGTTTCGATTGCTAATATCCACAATCGTCTTCGGGTGATGTCTGGACTGATTTCTCTGAGAAATGACTATTTATGGAGCATTCGAGTACTGTCACTTTCTCCGCTTTCCTTTTTCCGCATCACCGGTTTGGTGGGAGATGACCGTTTGGCGGAAGTTGACGACAACATGTATGCAGCTTATTTGAATTTTCTCTTAACCAATGTTCCTCCCTGTGTACGATCTCAGCTTAGGATCACTCGATGTTATGTTGATGGGTTCAAACATGTTCTGCTATTCCCGATTTGCTGGTTTCCCCTCGTTGTGTGTGTTTCTTGTTCTCGGCAATGCGAACATTCAACGGCCTCTTAGTTTCACCGATATAGGGTTTTTCGCTCTCACGGGGAATCCGGTAAATACAATTCTTGGAATCACAATTCGCGTTATGTGGCCTGGTTTTCGTGAGGCTGCTACGGATAGTGTTACCGGATCTGAAGCAGGTTCTGATGTTGTACTTGGACCCAATTCTTCTTATGTTTTCAGATGATCCTTTGATGTAGGGTAGTGCAAGCACTTGTTGTGATGACTTCTCTTCCTTGCGGGGCTCCTGATGTCTTTTAGCCAAAGTCTGTTCCACCCTAGCTTTGAAGTAGCCATACCGTTGAAGATAATTTTTGATGATGTCTAATTCCTTCTCTGGACCTTCCTTCGTATTACACAGCCCGAAAGCACGGTCTATTAGAGTCTCAATGAATCCTGTTTCAGTCGATTGGTGGTGGTTGGATTCGTGGTTCAGATACTGTCCCGTGAGTTTTCGGTATACAGATGTTACCCACTTAGTGTCTTCCAATACGTCACCAATACGTCTAAGAATTGCAATTCGTTATGGACTTCCTTCTCTAATGTGGAAGGAAGGCATCTAGTTCAGTATTTCCATGGTTCCATATTATGACGGTGTAGTTAACGTATCTCAACCAGACACGAGGTTTCTCGTGGGCTTCATCAATGGCCAGAGTTTCAAATCACTCCATGTACATGTTAGCTATGACTGGTGAAAGTGGGATCCCATTGGCAGTCCCTCATCTTTTGTAAAGATTTCGTCGGAAATAACAGTTTCGGAGATAGGACCCTAGGTAATTACATAATTACTTCTATAGGTAAATTTGTTCTATATTCCAGGACCCATCTTCGGCTAGCTTCCTCTGTTATAACCACTTTTCTAGCTTTTCGACATTCCAATACGTCAATAACCGCATGAGAGCTGACACCCACTTCTTCCTCCATCCTACGCACCGTTTTTAATAGATAAGTCTCCACCAGGGTCCTCAAATTCTCGTCCTGGATAATTGTAGGTCGACCACTTCGGGGCTCAACTTTGAGGCCAAAATCTCCGGAACGAAATTTCGCAAACCAACGTCGAACAGTGCGTTCATTAACACTATCATTGCCAAATGCCTGGTTGATTTTTCTGTCTGTTTCGGCAGCGCTTTGATTTGATTTGTATTCGTAGAGGAAAATTGGCCAAAAATTGCTCAACGACATCATATATAACAGCTTCAATGTATAAAGTAACAAATTTTCTATCGATCAATATATACCACGACACAGTAGAATGAATATTCATTGAGGTAAGGAGCTACAAAAACACAAGACATTGAAACAGGCAAAACTTTTGTATCAACCTGATAGAAATAATCTCAATAATAATAATAACCTGAATAGCATGACATACACTATACTTTATTGTGCCACCAGAAGCTATTTCACTCCCCAGAAACTTATTTCAAAGTATTTGGTGTCACTCTGGAATACTGGAATACTGCTCATGTGCAGCTCAATCAACCAAAACATACTTTAAAAATTATTGACTCCATTCAAAAAAGAAATTAGTCCCACTGCCGACCACTCATCAACAATGACTCTCTACCACTTCAAGGTATTCGGAAGAGTTGAAGATCTTTTCCATTTCGCAAAGGTACTACTATCAGCGTTGCTGATGATACTGTCCTTTTTTATACAGATAACAACTGGTATGACCTGAATAATAAAATTCAAACGTAACTCAATAAATTGAAAATGTGGTTCGACTATAATCTCTTATCAATAAATTTTGAAAAACTACACTACCCACCATTTAACTGTCAAGATGCATTTCTTCCTACGTTAAATATTACTTCAACAGAATGTACAATAAAATCAAAAGAAAAAATTAAACATCATAATAGATTCACATCTTCGGTGGGATCAGCATATTAGCTATTTATTGAAAAAATTGCGATATATTTTATATAGATTTAAGTATGTGACGAAGTACTTGGACCAAGATCAAAAAATCATTTTGTACAAAAGTCTTGTCGAACCACACTTGAAATATGGTATTCTCGGATGGGGAGGGGTGTCAAGAACACACTTCGATGCATTGGAAGTATCCCAAAGAAGATTCTTGAAAATCATCCTGAATAAAAATAGTAGATACTCCAGTGATCAAGTATATAAAGAGACAAAAACGTTTGATCTTAGATAAATATATTTTGAACAGCTGAATATTGCAGTATTCCAAAAAAATTGACCTTCTCAATCTGGATCATACGTATCTTACCAGAGGAAAAAACAAATTTGTCCAACCGCTAATGAGCCAGTCAGTAGGCCAAAAAATTAATCAATTTTTGAGTCCAAGGGCTTTCAATATTCTTCCTGATGAAATAAAAATTCAACAATCGATATAAAAATTCAAAAGAGAATTGAAAATATATTTATATCAGAGGAACCCGAGAGCGATTCACCAAATAATTGAAAAAATTGAAAAATAA